CTGGAAACTCACATGGCTGAAGGGACAAGGGAGCTACTTGGGCATCCTATATAATCCTATCTAATAAAAGAGAAACATGGTAATTAGCGTATGACTGCTACCCTTCCCATTGGCTTATCAGGGAGATATGCAAATTAACTTCCAGCCAAGATGGCGGCCGGCAGCCAGGCAGCTGGAAGCTAACATGAGGCTTGCTTGCTTCAGTGATGGAGGACTCCAACGTTCCCCGCCTGCCTGCCGCTGCCGGCCTCTGAGCTGCAACTCTAAGAAACTATGTTACAAATATAGAAGCTAAACAAAACCCCAGAAACCTGCTTTAGTTGCCAGGCTTCAGCCAGTAGGATCGCAACATTGTTTCAAATACAGAAGGTAAACAAAGGCCAGAAACCACATTCAGCAGCGGAGGCCTAAGAGCTGGACTCTCAGAGCTAAAACTGGCCCAGAATAAAAAGAAAAAAAAAGAAAAAAAGGAGCAGTTGGGAGCTTCAGTCACCCGCCAGCCTGAAAACAGCCCTCAGCCCCTCACCCGGACTGGCCAGGCACCCCAGTGGGGACCCCCACCCTGATCCAGGACACCCTTCAGGGCAAACCAGCCTGCCCCCACCCTTGTACCAGGCCTCTATATAGTAAAAGGGTAATATGCCTCCCAGCACCGGGATCAGCATGACAGGGGGCAGTGCCCAAACCCCCTGATCACCCTGCGGCTCTGTTCATGACAGGGGAAGGTGCCCCAACCCTCTGATCAGCCCTGCTCTGTGCCCAATAGGGGGGAGCTCCCCAACCCCCTGATTGCCCTGCAGCTCTGTGTGTGACAGGCTGTGGTGGCCCAACTCCCTGATCGGCCCTGCTCTGTGTGTGACAGGGTACAGAGCCCCAACCCCCCTGATGGGCCCTGCTCTGTGCGTGACAGGGGGTGGTGCCGCAACCTCCCCATAGACCCTGCCTTGAGTGTGACAGGGGGCGGTGCCCCAACCCCCGAATCAGCCCTGCTCTGAGCCGGACCAGGGGCTGCACCTAGGGATTGGGCCTGCCCTCTGCCACCCGGGAGCAGGCCTAAGCCAGAAGGTCGTTATCCCCCAAGGGGTCCCAGACTGTGAGAGGGCACAGGCCGGGCTGAGGGACCCCCCTCCCCCCCAATGCACAAATTTTTGTGCACCGGGCCTCTAGTCCTATATAATAAAAGGCTAATATGCAAATTGACTGAATGGCAGAACAACTGGTAGCTATGACATGCACTGACCACCAGGGGGCAGATGCTCAACACAGGAGCTGCTCCCTGGTGGTCAGTGTGCCAGATGCCAGGTTCACTGCTAGCAAGTGCAGCAGTGGTGGTGGGCAGCACTAAGGATGTTCCACTGCCGGCAGTCGGACATCCCCTGAGGACTCCTGGACTGCGAGAGGGTGCAGGCCAGGCTGAGGGACCCCCCTGAGTGCACAAATTTTGTGCACTGGGCTCTAGTCTGTTTACAAGAGCACTAATCCCATCATGAGGCTCCACCTTTATGAGCTAATTACCTTGCAACAACCCACCCCCTAATAGCATTTCCTCAGGAGTTAGGATTTCAACATATAAATTTTGAGGGGGATACATACATTCAGACTATAAGCAATTAATATTCCTACATGCAAAGCTACCACTCACTGAAACAGACTTCTACACTTATTTTCACTGGGGATGATATAAAATAATAAGCCACCATTGATTATGCATATCTTCTGTATCTGATGCCAAATGATTGGGATGTTCAGATGATTTTGTGCACATAGCAATTCACATATCCCAATGTGGCAAATAGAATCGTTTCAACAGTGAGAATACGTGGTTTGCATTTCCTGAAGGTCTATATGTGATGATCTTGTTGTGGCAAATGGCCCAAGAGAACGACAGCTGGCACCCAGAGGAATCAGGAAAGTAAAACCTTTATTACGCAGCACTGCTAGTCCAGGGGACTTTGATCCAAAGCCTGAACTGCCATGCTGGGGTCCAGCCCCAGTGGTCCAGGGGCTCCCAAAGGTGTGGACAGAGTTGGCGAAGAATGTTTTACACAGAGACAGTGTTCAGAACTCTCTAGCTCTCTTTAGTCTCCATGGATCTTCCTGTGCCTGAGGCCACAGAGAAAAGATCCTGAGGCAAGCTGGGCCTTTATTTTATAGTCAGAGGTAAACAAGGTAGTGGTTACCATAGTTACACAGTTCTCGTGAGTTTCACTTGTTTACACTGTTCTTGTGAGTTTCACTTGTTTTTGTTCTTGTTGCACTTCCCTCAGTCCATTAGCTTCCCAGGTAAGATCTAGGGAGCACTATAAAGTCAAGCCTAATTATGCTAAGAGGACTGTGCCCTCTAAGCTGGGACTTGTTTGTGACTTTGCCAACAGGTCAGCCCGAGGCTTAACCCTATAGCAGCTCCCCACACTGCCAATGTGGGGAGGTTTTGAATAGATATATCTTCTTGTGGTGGGATCCTGGGGGTGGGCTTTGCAGCTCCTCCCAAGTCAGTTAGAATGGGGCTTGTAAGATTACTGTTTAACTAGATACTAAACTAGGCTGTAACAACCCAAAGTTGCCCCCCTATTTTCCTTCTCACTCTAACCTTGACAAATTGGGATTAGAAAAAAAAAAGTGTTTTTTGAGATTTTTTTCTGTGTATGTTTTTTATCCCTTTATAAAAATAAAGTAAAGAAGGAAAAGAACAGGAAGAGGGAAAGTAGGATAAAAATGAATATCAGAAGAGGGAGGAGAAAAAGAAAGAAGAAAAGGAAAGGAAGGGAATAGAAATATCTAAAGTTCAGTATTTAGTTTTATCTCAAAATCCGTATTTTTTTTAAAAAAAATTCTACAGGTCAGTAGAGCTCAGTCAAAATAACAGTGTCTTCAACTTGTCTTTCTAAGCAAGCTGAGACAGCCAGGCCAACATTATCAGCGCCCTCTCCTACCCTTCCATCTCTCTTTTTCATAAATCTGGACGAAAAGAAGCCAACAGCACAGGTTGTGGCCATTTGCCACACAACTCTCAGTGTAATAGCCATGGATGAGAGAGATCAAAAAAAGCTAGTTTTGCTCTGATGACAATGGTTAGGAGAGATGCAGTAAAAATCTTGAGCTTGAGACACAAAGGGAATTCACTTGGTATTAACTGCATTCCATGATTTGGCCCAAATTCTTATTCCTTCAGCTCTCCAGGGGATGGAAAACACGGCACCCCTCACATGCAAATCATGGTTAGGAAAAGCATGATCACCACCTCCGTCAGCCACCTCTTTCTGGAGGGAAAGCGAACCCTATGCAAAGCTGAGGACCAGGAAATCAGGCTTTGTTTTTGTTTTCTCTGTTTTAGTTCATTGACCCAATATTGGTTTCTATGCTAAGTGTGTGATGGTAAAAAAAAAACAACAAAAAACAAAAAATAACCTTGATTCAGGCCCTGGCCAGTGTGGCTTGCTTGGGTGGGTGTCCTCTCATGCACCTGCACATGGAAAAGTTCCCGGTTCGATTTCTCACCAGGGCACATGCCCAAGCTACAGAGTTGATGCCCAGTAGGGGGCGTGCAGGAGGCAGCCTATCTATGTGTCACTCTCTCCCTCCCTCCCCATTTCTCTTTCTGTCTAAAAAGATCAATAAATACTCAGAAGGAGGAGGAGGAGGAGGAGGAGGAGGAGGAGGAGGAGGAGGAGGAGGAGAGGAGGAGGAGGAGGAGAAAAAGAAGCCTTGATTCAGGAGAACAATGCAAGTGGGCTTGGAAGGACTCACCAGGCTTTAAATGATTAACACCATCCAACACACCAAATCACTGCAATGCTACTTGATAGAAGAGCACAGAGCTCTGGCGACCGCTGCATTGAGAGATTAAGAGTTAATAAGTAAACCAGAAGTGTTTGCAACTCCATCTGTCTCACAACACCCGTGTCCATAACAAAGCCAAACTAGTGTTTTCTTTTCCTACCACCCCACCAGGCATTAGCCCACAAAAATGTTTTATCTCATTTTGTAGGTGGAGAAAGTGAGGCAGAAAGACAAAAAAAAAAAAGACTTCTCTAAAGTTACATGGTACAGGTAATGCAGCCATGATTTTTTAAAAAAAGCAAACAAACAAAACAAAACAAAAAACACCAAACATTCTGTCCCCTGGACCTCTGTCTTACAGGAATTCTTGATGAGTTAGTACCTTTCATTATATCATTGGTTTTAAAATTAGGTGGTTTCTGAATTTTTTTTTTTGCCATTTTTGTATTATAGTAAAATAGGCATCACATAAAATTTACCATTTTAACTATTTTAAAGTGTACAGTTTGGTGGCATTAGGTACATTCACACTGCTGTGCAACCATTACCACCATCTATTGCCAAAACTCTTGCTGTCTCCAACTCAAACTCTGTGCCCAGTTACTGGTAACTTCCTATTCTTTCTTCCTCTAGCTCCTGGCAATCACTTCTGAATGTTATTTTACAGCAAAAAGAAATGTTGACTTTGACCTTGATTTACAACTAAAAAAAAAAAAAAAAACTAAGCTAAAAAATGTAATTAGATGCAAGAGGGAAAGGTGGGGGGTTAGACCTCCATTCAGAAGTGATTGTATGCAGGTAGAAGACTCCACATGAGTGTGCTGTGTGTGTGTGTGTGTGTGTGTGTGTGTGTGTGTGTGTCTTTAAAAGATTTCCTCCTCCCAGCCCGCCCCCTCGCAGTTTGCCACTGGGTTTTGCAGTCTCCTGATTTCCTCAGTCCACAAGAGGAGCCAACATGGGCAATCGCCTCTGTAGTTTCAGGAGCTAGTTTGTGGCAGGGGAAGCCCCATTCTGAGTTGAGGAGTGGAAAGGTAACCCATATGTTTTTAGTTTCAAAGATCTGCCCCCCAAAATACTATTGCTCTTCTTCTGGAAAAGCCTGATTGGTAGGATTCCTCCAAAGGCTCAGCCCGCCGTGCTGTATGCCATCCTCTCGCCAACTTCGACCCTGAAGCTTGCCAAGAACCCCCCCGGAGTAAAACCTGCTGGCTTCCATCGTTTGCCACAAATGGCCAATTCTGGAGGAGGCGCTGTCTGCAATGGGAAAATTTATAGTCACAAGAAATGGGACGGCTCACAGAATGGAAACTGCACGAAGAATGGCATAGTGAAGGAAGTCCAGGTAAGAGGGGATCCCTGCCTGGCTCGGAATGGCCAGGACATGTGACTATTTCTTTGTAAGGCTGTCTGAGGCGGTCCTAATCGAAAGTCCTCTTAGGAAGTGTTAGGTGTTTTGATTCTGCCCTTCAGCTAATTTCAAATGCTTGGCTCCTGAACAGCTTAGGTGGGGGGTAAGGAGAGAATTTCTTCTCTAGACAAGAGAGGACATACATAGTCCCAAGAGCTTTTTAAAGGCTGAAAATACAAACATACCTACTAGACTTTTATTTTCTCTGACTCATTTCAGGGGCAGACTTGTGAAGGCTCAAACTTCTCAGCTAAATTTCAGTCCATCAAGAAATCATGACAGGCTACATTCACCAGGCTTCATAAAACATTTTTTTAAAAAAAAAAATTGAGGAAGTGGAAGTAAACTAAAAGTCGCCGAGATTATATGTTGTGGATGGCATTTTCCTCTGTACACCAGAAATGCTCCCACTTCACCACTCAGTACAGTTAGCCGAGTTATTCTCTGGGTGAAAGATGAAATATTTATGGTATTTAGTGGGACATTGTCACAGCTTACAGTTTGATTTAGGGCCAGAGTCTTTCTCTGAAACTTGACATCACAGCATTCCTTTGGAAGACACTTCAGAGAGTGTGGCTTATTGTTCCATGCTGGACACAGAACCAAACAGCCTTTTGTTTTCCCGTTTGAAACATTTTTTGGCTCCTGCTGTAAAATAATGTTTGATGGGGCTCTACTGAGAAGGAGGAAGAGGAGGCAGAAGAGGAGGGGGAGAAGGAACTGGAGAAATATTGTCAGCTTATTCAAAGAGGGAGCTGGGCTCTGTGAGGTATTTGTAAAAAGGCAGTCCCCCACTTCCCACATGATGCCCTGCCTCACTGCTCTGAGGAGCAGGGATGAGCTCACCTGCTTCAGAAGCAAATTGGCATAACCAGACAGGTAGCTTCAGTGTTGGGAAATGAGAAGCTGGGCAGGGAACCTGTCAGGTTCATCACTCATCCATCCCCAGAGAACCAGCATCCACCCAGGGGAAAGGTCAGACTGTCGTAAGATCGCAGGACAGGTTGGGCTTGCTGGGAGCCAGTTCGCCACTCAGTACATTAAATCTGTGAGTCCAGTTGGAAGAGGTAAAGGGGCGATGGGGAGGGGGGAGTACTCTGGAGCATGGCTGTATGTGAATATGCTGTGGCCCCCTCTTAACAAAAGGCATTACCCTAGCCTTAGAAGTGTCTAATGAAAATCTCAGGTCTGGCCTCTCGCAGATGAGAACTAGTGCTAATAAATAGCATTGTTGGTAGCTGCTTCATGCCAGTTCCTTTTGCCTCATTTTATTCTCATAGCAATACTGTTAGCTGAATACTATTAGCCATGTCTGTATGGATGAGGAAATTGAGGCTCTGAGAACATAACTTCTCAAGATCACCTATCTATAAGAAAACTGGAGCATAAACTCCAGACCATCCACCTTAGCCCAACTTCTTTTTTTTAATTTAAATTCTCTATTGTTTAAAGTATTATATATGTCCCCCCCCCCCCCGACCTCTTCCTTCCAACTTCTTTTGGTACCAAGACTCTATGGTAATGTGCACTTCCCACTAACAGCCTAAAAAACCCTTATTTTAAAAAAATGAGATTGACTAAGATACCAATGACACTTGAGAAAAGGAAAGGTATTATGCTTTCATTGTGGCCACAACTATTCAAGAATATCATGCTCTAACTCCTAACACATTGGCCTGTAGTGAAAAACCTTGGGAAGTAACCAAGAAAATAATAATTATGTATTGTATAATCTCTAACATGTACCGCATTCTTTCTAAGTGCCAGACATTCTAACTACTTTACATTCATCATCTCACACATTCCTACAAGGTGGATATAATTACTATCAGACCCATTGTAGAGGTGAGGAAACAAAGCTTTAGTAAGTTAACCAAAGTCATCAGCAGAAGCATCAAAAGCAGTTTGGGAACCTGGTTTTCCCAACTCTAAAACCCAAGTTTGTATTTCTTAGTGCAAGCTGCTTCTCTAAATACAAGATGTTAGTAAAAGTGAGATCCTCTAGCCTGGGATCTATTAGCTCCAATTGATACCTCATGGAATATATAAATAAGTTGTCCCTGCTGAGTTCTGCTCATATTACAGATTCCTGAGCAAATAAATGATTGCTGTTTTAAGTGTGGTAGTGGTTTGTTAAGCAGCAATAAATAAATGAACATATGGATATTCTTGTTTTTAAATATCTAGAAAATTTATTCTGCAATCTCATCATATCTATTTTATTTATTTATTTTCCTTTCCAATTTGTGTTCATTTTCTGTTTTTTTAATTGTTTTTTTGTTATGATGAAAACCATAACATACAATTTTCCATCTTTTTTCCCCATTATAGTTCATATTCAATATTATTCTGTATAAGTTTCAGGTGCACAACATAGTGGTTAAACAATTACATACTTTAACCAAGTAGTCTCCTCAATATTTCAAGGAAACCCCCTGGCCCATACATAGCTATTACAATATTTTTTTTTTCTCCATTGACCTCTCTCCAGCTACTCCCACCCCCCAGTACATGGCCTCACCCCGCTAGTGACTGTGTCCATTGGTAATGCTATATGCATGCATACAAGTCCTTTGGTTGATTTCTAACCCTCCCAACCCCCCACCTTCCCTCTGAGATTTGACAGTCAGTTCGATGTTTCTCTGTCTCTGAATCTATGTTTATTCATCGGTTTATGTTGTTCATTATATTCCACAAATGAGTGAGATCATGTGGTATTTATCTTTCTCTGAATCATATCCATTTTTGGTGCTGGCATTTACATTTTGAGGAGAGAGTTTGCTGTGGCCGTCTATTTGTTTTCAATTTGTTTTGTGTTTTGGGATAAGGACTGTATCCCTTAAGATGAATGTCTGACTGGTTTAGCCAAATACAGTGAACTCAAATATTACTAATGCAAAAGTGCAATCATCTGAATGATGCCAAATCTGAAGTGTAATTATTCAACCTGTGGCAACCTGCAATTCATTGTATTACCTATGAATAAAAGTGTGTGTTAAGGTGAAGAAGTTTTCTTAATCAAAATACATGTGTTAATTATATTTAATATTTACCAGTTATAAATTAATTTTATCTATTTACTAAAGTTTCTTTAAAAAACCTTTCTTAGAAACACTTTTAGAGGTGGATTGATGTCAACCTAAATACTTGCAAGGAATTTACTACCTTTATTTTGAAATTAATATTTCAAAATAATAACACTGAATTTAATATTTCTACTAAATGTTGTCACCTTTGTCCCAATTGGTCTGAACTAATATAGTTTTACTATAATTCTAAAATATCCAACCTGTAAATTAATGTGAGAAGGAGCTGTTGCCACCCTATTAGAAACCAAGATATTGGCCAGATAATTCACAATTTAGGTGAAACATTTGGGGGGGAAAATAAACAAAATACTATAAGCATAACTCAGAGAAGTATTAAAAATAGTTATATTTTATCCATCCATCACAGTACCATCAGAAATCTGCTCCACTCATTAATTTTGCCACATTGAATACCATTTGATTACAGCAGAGACTGAGGGTGGCAGGGTCTGGTATGGAACAGTAGGAAGTGATAAGAATGTATTTACCTAACAAAGCTCTTTGTCTCCAAGAAGCAGAACAAGTCCTGTGTAAACAGATCTTAGGATTTTCAAAAGAAGTTGGAAATCCAAATGAAGTGGGAGGCAGAGAAAATCTCCTCATTTTTAAATATTGGCATCTAACCTTTAAAAATTCAAATAGTGTAGATTTCAAGGAAATAGTGCTTTCCAGCCACAAATCTGAAATCTCTGAACTATGGGGAAATAGGGTGAGAAAAATAAGAGGTCATAAGTACAATGCTATTTTCTCATACACGTTTAAGAAGAATGGTTCAGGGAATTTGACTTCTCTTAACTTAGATTTACTTCATACTTTAAAAGAAGAATCTATAATAATAAAAGTATAATATGCAAATTGACCTAACGGCCGAACAGCGGAATGACCATCCAGAGGACCACGCCATAACATCCAAAGGCACCAGGCCAGCCAAGGCGGGTGGGATGAGATTGGTTGGGGGCCCACCCATTGCCCCATGATCACCCTGCAGAGAGAGGCCCAGGTCACCTGCTGGCGGGGCAATTGATCAATCGGGGGCAGGGGAGGGGCTCCACGATCACCCCAAGGAGGAAGGCCCAGGCCACCAACTGGCAGGCTGCAGGGAGTAGGCAGGTCCTCCCTCTGCAGGGTGCTATTTATTGTCCCAAAGAGGGAGGCCCAGGCTACCCCGACTATCCATCGCGGAGCCCTGGTTGGATGGGTGGGGCCTACCTCTTTGGGGTGATTGATTCTGGGGCTCCCGGACTGTGAGAGGGCACAGGTTGGGCTGAGGGATCCCCCCCATCTCATTCCCTGAGTGCACAAATTTTGTGTACTGGGCCTCTAGTAGATAATATAAAAATTTATGTTCCTTTCCCTGAGTTGTTATATTAACCCTGGAAGGTGCAAGTTTGAGGAACGATTATAACTGACTTCATGTACTAGATTTCCCTGACTAGCCCTGATTTTAAATATGAGGTGCCCAAGTGTTCATCAAAATGTCATAGAACTGACAATATTTTATTAGTCAAACTTCATCTCTCAGACTTCACAGGACGTGACAGAGAAATGTTTTGTTAGACAATGCATCATAAAGCTTGGTCACCACTATTGTTCGCTAGATACGTTGTGACTGGGCCTTCAAAGTTGCCCAAGAAAAAGGCTGTGTGTAAATCATAATTATTCTGTCAAGTTGTACTTGACTGTTCTTTCTCTGCCATGTGGGCCTTACCCATTTGAAGTCAAGGATCCTTTGAGAAGCTGATAGGTACGTTTTATAGAAAAATGAATGGGTTCATAATTATAAAATTTCCCATATAGAGAGTTCATATATTCCCTGAGTTTCTCAGATCCCCTGGTTAAGAGCCTCGGCTGTGGAATGCCTTTATTAATTAGGCTACATCTGCTCTCACAACCTAACTACCAGCAAGTCAGCCTCTCCAGAGGAGATGGGAAGGTATTCATAAATTAATTTACCAAAAAGAGAAAACCACACAAAGCCCAAAGTAACTCAAGCAATATGCGCAATAAGTGTTATTCATTTATTTTAAAACTTATATTAGGATTTTGCATTCTACTCTATAATACATTTATATTTTTTTCTTATAAAATTATTTTTATGTCCTCCCTTAAAAGCATTGAGTAAAAATGAACTCCCAGAAAGATATTTCTTTCCTGGTGACTTTTCACACCCCAGAACCACTCAGAATTTCCCAGGGAACCACTTAAGAAAGAATGATATTAGGAAGAACCACTCACATTGAATTCATTTAGAAGTAGGTTTGAGACCTAGCTCTGCCCCTTAGTAGCTATGTCAGATTGGACAGATAACCTTATGTCTCTGATCCATATCTAACAAGGCAATGGTGAATATGAAATGAGATAGCATATGTAAGGCTCCTAATAACTATCAAGTATAGAGTAGATATTTAATAAATGATAACTGTTATCTATTAAGATTAATCTGAAACCATCTCTTTCTCCACTATTTTAATAGTGTACAGTGCAATGCCTGGCATATAATAGGTGCTCAATAAATTATAGTCTTAAACCCTCGACTCTTCTCATTCAATGATGGCTTCTCAGTTCCCATTTTATTTGACCTGTCAGTGGAATTTGACACAAGTAATCAGTCCCTTTTCCTTAAAGCACTTTCTTCTCTTGAATTTCAGAATATGACACTTCTATATCACTAGCTGTTCCTTCGCAGTTTTGATTTCTGGTACCTCCTCATCTCCTTGACTTTTAAATAATAGAGTGACCCAAGGCTTAGTCCTTGTACCTTTTTTCTTTTCTAACTGCACATCTACCATGATCATCTGATCTTGTCTCATCTCTCTATGTATATGTGACATCTCCAACTGTATATGTCCAAAATTGAGCTCCTGATAACTATTCCCTCTCTCTGTCCCCAAATCTTATTCCCTTATAGTTTGCCCCATCTTAGTAAACAACAACTCTATCCTTTCAGTGACTCAAACCA